TAATTTAAATATATACTATATACTATATATTATGCGCCCGCAGTTGCAGTCGAGGGCAAGATTTCCGCACTCAATTGTTATTCTAAATATACTTTTTGCTCTTGGTTTTCCTTTTTTCTTGTATTAATTGAATATTTTAGAAATATATAGAAGTAATTGTATTTCTAAATTGTTGATGTTATTACGTCAGCTGAGATGCAAGTTTTGAAAAACCTAAACATAAATCTCACATAATATTCCATCAAAACTTTTATTTGATGCGAAATTCTTTGTGCTTTCAGCTGCTTAGGCACATTAGCTTAGCTTTCAAATTTCAATTCAAATGATTTTCCGTTTCGTTTATCGCTTTGTTTGTTTGTTTAACAGTTGCTCTGTCGACTCACGCTTTTCGTTGCAGTGTGTACGTAGCTAGAGGTCTCCATTTCCACAGTCTTCCACATTTCATTAGAATTAATCAGAATGAAATTGAATTATTTATTTATGCTTAACAAACAAGATAACTATATATATATGAACTTAATTTAGGTGTTTGGGATGAAACATCTAACATCAGAAGACCGTCTCACCACCATTGCAGGAATAATTCAATGATAGAATAGTAAATCAAAATTTGACTTAGGATTTTTGCATGAAAGACCTAACATTAGAATATACGTTTATGCCGTCTCCTCTTTCGAAACCCCATTGTAGCAGCAAATCGAAGATTACATATGTTAAATCAACCCTTCTATGGAATTTTACGCATTAAACAATTCTTGAAAAGCAAAGAAATCTTCTTTTGATTCAGTGATACAATGATGATTAAATTCAAACGACTTTACATACATATTTTAAATTATTATATTCAGAATTCATTCACAGGGTGCCGGGTATCCCCTAGCTAAGTACTCCCTACTTGAGCATTTAAAAACAATGTCAAGGTCAGATTCACATTATCAGCATAGCCCTTCTGCCCTCTATGTTAGTGCTACTTATATTGTATTTTCAAAGAATTTATGATTTCCAAAAATGAATTACAAAGTTTTTTGTTTTAATTAATTTTATTCCAATTTTCAATCCGGGGTCTAAGCTAAGCCCCTATCTTTTATTTATTGCGAAAAGATAAAACCGCCCTCTTTCCATTAAAATGTTTATCCTTATGATCCTTCCCAAAGAATGAATTAACTGTGATTGGCTAATTGAGTAAGATAAATTCGATTGAAGGGGGGCTGTCGAATAGTAAAACCAAAACTACATACCATAAAATTTATTATGGTTCTTCAAATTATGTAAATTTGCTTCATCAACTACGTAAAGCTAGCTCTCATGCGTTAAAGTTTTTTAACTTGCTTTGATGAAAACTGAGCTAATGCATTATGGAAATATATGTATTGCACCACATCCAGAATAAAATGAAGAAGAGTAAAAAGAGAGTCTATCCACAGTGCTAAGACGACTTTTTTCGAGTTAAATTTGTTTGTAGTTTTGTGTGAATATAAATAAGTAAATATGTTTGTTTCACATAGATTTTAGCTGCTTACTATATATATGTATATATTATAGAATTGAAAAATGTAATTATAATATAAGAAATAGATTGCATATGCATATATTTGTTTTTTCTTATTTTCCCATTTCTTATATTATAATTTTATTTTTGAAACTGGAAATTACTTTTGTTGTATATTTGAAATGTTTGAATATCGAACTGAAGCCCGAGGCGCAGCTGCCTTTGGCTGGCTGAGGCCAGGGCTGGGCATTAGCAGCTCGGGCAATTGATTTGTGCGTGGCTAATGCTCTGCTGCCGTCTCCATGCCTGGCCAATTGCATATGGAGCAGCAGACGGGGCCGGGGGAGTGCGGCCGAGGCCAGAATCTCTCCCCTGCTGGCCCACTCAGTGCTCAACTGGAGCAAACTTATTTTTAACACATGCATTGAATTCCAAGCGGCTCCGCTTACACCGCACACACATGCAGCCACACAGAGAGAGAGGGAGAGTAAGAGAGAGAGATAGATTGTTATATATATGTGTGTATGTGATATAGCTACAATTATACACATAGTTCTATAGAGGCTTTCGGCGATTTCTCCAAGTGCTTGGCCGCCTGCAACAGGCTGCTCGGATTGTCGCTCAGTGTGGAGCGTACGAATTGTGGCCAACACAGATTTTCGGTATCCATTTCGATTTGGGTTGCCAGCGGCGTCTATTTTTAGGCCGTGCGCCCAGATACAGATACAAATACGCACACACACACACGCTCTCTTAGCGAGCGCTAGCTAGCGAAAGACAGAGAGAGAGAGAGAGAGAGAGAGAGAGCGCTCGCGTCCCCCTTCGCCCTCGACAAAAACGCAATCATCGAAGGACGGGCAGGTGGGCGGCACATATATACGTACACATACATACATGTATACGTGTGTGTGTGTGTGTGTGTGCAGAATCCGAATCTGAATCCGAATCGGTATCTGTATCCACTGGTTGGCTGCCATTAGAATATAGTCTGCCGTGGATCGTCGGACCGTTCAGTCTTTTTGTGTCGTTCAGTACCATCCGATTCGTGTGATCGACAGCATCGCTCAACGTTTTTTTTTCATTTTTTTTCCAATTCCTTGAAGGTGAGTGGGTTGCTGGCGCACCAACTGTGCGAATTGCCCCAACCAAGTAACTGAAACCATGAACCAGCCACGCAAGAAAAGCCCAACTCAACGTACAATCAATCCAAATTCAAAAACTAAAGGAAGAAGCATACCAATTGTAATGCATCAAATCAAAAATTTTGCTGAATCTATCGAGTGATCCAAATGTAACTTTTAAAAAACTACAACGAGGTCAAAACGTGCGCGTGATCCTAACTATATTCGTTAAAAAAAAAAAAACAAAAAACATTATTTTTTTATTGTTTTTTTTTTT